TCCGAGACAGGAACCCCAGCTCCTCAAAGCTCCACTTCACTTCTTCTCCTTTTCCGTTTATCCACCAAAACGCAGGGTTTGGTGGTCTCTTTCCAGCCTGCAAAGCATAAGGAATCAAACACAAAACATTTTCTTCTGACAGACCATGAAATTATAATGCAAAACCACCTACAAATTATGGAAGATCTGAGTATTCCACAAGTGGCATATAAGCTGTTGTTTTTCCCTTGTCCTAAATGGATTGAGATGTGCTATGCATCACGCTCAGGTATTCCCAATAGATTCTGCTTTTCTGAATCTGAAATGTTTACCAACCTAATTGCCTCCAGACCCAAATCATTTCAAACGAATTTCAAATCAGAGTATCTCATCGGCACAACAAAAGATCATCTACCTTTTCAATCTCAGCCCATTTGTCCAGAACATCACTTGCATAGTTAAAGTACTTTGGTAGTTCCTGTTTGCCCCGCCTGATGGGCTCATACTGGGAATGGACATCAGAGGCAAGCAGCCTGGAGTGTCCACGGAAAGTCCTGTTAGGAGGCTTCAGAGTCCACAAGAATTTTAGACTCCATAATTTAAACAACTTCATGGCAGAAAATGAGGTATGTAGATGCTGTAGACTATGTGAGGAAATGAGCAGAACTGTTGATGTGAATCCTGCAACAAGAAAAAACAACAAAAAGAGAAAAATAATATTGAGATTATCCAAAGACAATCCAGTTATGAATTATTGAGTTATTAATTAAATTCGCTCAGGCTAGTTAACAGCCAGACTGATGATTTTAACACTCCAATTAAATGTGAAGTTCCCTATCCTGCTTTCTCATATTTTTGATTTTTTAATTAACTGCCTACAACTCTCCATACTCAAAACCAACATCAGATGTTATTGCTTGTATTAGAACAAGGTTCCTGCCTCTTACTCCAAAGCATTCACTAGCTAATTCTCTATTCCTTTTCTACTAGACTACTCCCATCAAGATTCTCACAGCTTTAGCTTCAGCAGTCACTGACTGATAAATCCATCGACCACATCCATCCAAAGAGCCTTCATTTCAGTAATCCCTTATGAAGGCACCAAATTTGATATAGACATTTCTGCATTTGCTTCCTGTAAATGCTCTCTTCCATCTGTACTCACCATAATGATCCTAAAAGCTCTCAAGTCTAATTGCTTTCTTCCTTTCCACTGCCACTCTTTTCTTTCTCTTCTTATAATCTTATAATGCTGCCGCTGATTATTTATTTTCCACATATCAGAGGATTATTCCAGATCTCAACTCTAAAAATTCTAATGCTATTTAGAGGCTTCTCATAAGTGCACATAAAGGTTATCAAACAGGGAAAAAAAAAAAAACTGGCTCCAGTGTGGAAAAACCTACAGAGCAGGAGCCAGGAGAGTCCTGGAGGCCTCTGATGATTTTAGAACCAGAGTCCAAATACTGATTTGCCTTTTTGAACCACTAAACTCAATACAAGATTTAGGGTGAGGGACTCCTGAAATAAGGGTAGTTTTCATTTCTGTTCTTACAAAGGATGAAACTATCCACAAACTACCAACAAAATTACAGGTAAACTCTTCATCAAATTCTTCTTCATGCAGAATTTCTGTGGCCTGAGTGAATCTGCAAAGTTTTGCCCTTTGTCCCAGGTTTTTAAGTACATTTTGTAGTCCTTTACCCCATATGCAATTAGTATTGTTTTTCTCTTACTTAAGGAAACAACTGCTAGTAAAAATATCATGATTTTTGTGAAATGGAACCTTTCTTTGAGGCTGTGACCCCCACTTTTAATGCTAAAAAACAATGGATCCACTTTGAATCCTTGAACAAACAAGCCTAATCATTTTGGTTATTACTTTTAAAAACTTGAGAGGATATTTATAATTTCTTAGTCTGCTCTAATTCTATGATTTAAATATAATCTACAGATTTCAGAGCATTACAATGACAAGATCTACACAACAGCCTGTCAAGGGAAGAGGAGGGACAGAACATTCAGGAACAATATTCAGGATCAGAAATGGTATTCAAGACTGACAAGATGAAAGACATTTTAAATTCCAGATTCTCCAGTGGTCTACCCAAATGTCTGCCGAGTTTTGCTGTGAGACCCTTCAAGGTTTTAGCACTTCCTCACCTGCAAACCTGGAGGTGAAAATGAAGTTAAAAAAAGACCCAGTAATGGCCAAGTCCTTTGAATGGCTCCAAGAATCAGGAATTGTTTTTCCTGATTTAGTACCCTCTGCTTCTGTTCAATGATCATGAACATGAATAATTCAGACAAACAACATTTTCCTGACCTGTCTGCTGTGGACAGGAGAGATTGAGAGCTGGCTGGGGTAGATCCTCTTCGTTCAGTTTGCTTGGCTTTCACAACATATTTCCCAAAAGAGACACTGTAAAGATGAGCCTTTACCTGGAGACGTGAAAGCCGGACCCTCTGGGAAAAAGGATTTGGAGTGAAACCTTTCCTACTTTATCATTTGCTTCGTCTGAAGTAATGAGAACAGAAGGTAAAGCAAAACAGACCAAGCAGCAAAACTCTCTCCATGAAGTAACTTTTTCTTGTAATCATTTACACCATTGTTAATTATGCATAATTTGCACCTTAACCTAAAGCACTTTGGGACTTCTTTTACCTCCTCTTTAACCATTTAAGTAGAGCAGAAATTCATCAGTGTCTTTCTTTTTCCACTCAGAAAGAATTTGGAAATATTACAGTGGTATTTTTTGAAAATAATGTATCAATGCTCTACTGATACCCACTACTGGACAAAGCAGGGCAAAGATTATCTTTATTCTTTTCTCTTTTATTTATATGTATCAAAGTATTGTGGTTACATTTTTTAATAAAAAATTTCCTTTCTAGGCTTCTGGGTGTGTCCTTTCTCTCTCCCATTCCATGCTCCGAATTATTTGCAACTTCTGTCTTCCGAATTTGTCGGTTGATGGCAAAACAGGTTTCAATACCACATATCCTCAAGCCATATGAGTGTTTTCTCCTTTTTCTTCCTTAGCTTGTTTTTCTGTATGTTCTCCTAGTGCTCTTGGACATGACCACATGCCAAATTTGATGTGTTATGGCTGGTATCAGCGATGGAACTTTTCTCTCCCTGTTTTCCAGAGCACTCTCACCCTTGTCATTCTCTCCCCCACTCTCTGTTCCTTAGGACCTTCCTCTGGATTTTTCCACTAACTGTCTTTGGCAGATCCCGAACAAACTCCACCTGAAAGGCAAAAATACATTCAGGCTGATTTCCCAGTTGAAGGAAAGACACATTTTATTAAGGGTGGGGGAAAAAGAGATGGGAAGCTGCACAGGGAGGGCTGGGATGATGGGATTCTGACTGAATGTCTTGCCCATTTTCCCATTGCTGGGAAAACCCCATGTTCCATGAAAGGAAAATTGGACTCTGATGAAGTCAAGTCACTGACCATTGCCTCCCTTTGGGTCCTTTCCAGCACACACAGCAAACCCAAAGCTACAGCTGCAACACACCCCGTCATCTACTCTGGTTTTATTTAGCTGTTGTTGGAGTGGTTGCCAGAATGCAGCTGAAAAGGAGCTGAGGGAGGACCAAAAATGCTCAGTTTCTGGTACAATGAGAAGCCCTGTCTTTTGAGGCTGTGCTTACCTTCCTTGGATACTTGTAAGGTGCAGTCACTTTCTTGACATGCTGCTGAAGCTCCTGAGTTAATTTTTCTGGATCATGTGATGCAAAAGCAGGAGCTAAAACTATGAAGGCTTTGACCACCTGTGTCACAAAAATTAAGGGATTCCATTAATTTTCCGAGATGGGAATAGATGCATTTCTTGTGAAAAGGGAGTGTCTAAATTCTGAATGCAAAAATTTGAGTATTTTCTTTAATTTCCCTTTCATTGTCTCTTTGGGACAGAATGGTGTGTTATGAAGGCTCCATTCTACAGCAGAGGATTTTTAAAATTTTTCCACTTTTTGTTTTTCCTTAATTTTATATATCACTCAGGCTGAAAATTTCATCCCAGTTGCTCAAACAAATGTTGCAA